TCTAGTTGCTCTCATAAGTTTGTTTGAAGCTTAACATCGGAGTCGGCTCTTTTGAGAAACTTTTTATGGGTGGCCGAGCAAGTTACTGGTTATGAATCAAATTGATGTGATGTGGGAGTTCCCGAGAACCAGAAGAAAAAAAAAGTAAAAAGAATTTAAATTCTGCATGTGTCTCGGCTTCTAAATGCTTCAACTTCCGTTTGATATGGGAAGGCATGACTAGGAAAGGAATGGACACAAAAACAAGCGCTGTATCCCACCCTCACGGTGCGTGAAATTGAGTTTCAAGTGGAGCAATCAAATTAGCTCAAAAACTCTGGAGAGCACGTTGTACAATCTAAATGGATTTGGACAATCCGAGAAAATTTCTAGTCGTGCCCCTGGTTTTACACTCCCAGGGCATATTATTGAACTTACACCTCAGATACAATCAAGAACAATCCACAGGACCACCTTGGTTCGTGAGAGGGACCAATGGAGAACGTATTGGCACCCGCTCAGGAAATTGGGGACGACAGGAAATACAGGTGATACTCCAAATACTGAATAATAAGGGGCTAAATTTAAAAAAATGGAAAAGAGAGCAAAAATATGTCTAACCAGCTCTAGCGAATTAAATTAGTACATCCTTCGAGACCGGATGGCATCCAAGAGGAGCAGCTGTCTGATTCAAAGCAAGTACGTCTGTACTGCCCACAGTAGCCTCTCTTCCAACTCCTAATAGGCCTATATAACTCCCAATTGTTTCTGAACACCCACTGAACATCAGCGGCATGAGCTAAGAGCACGACAAAGCAAATTAAGAGTTATGGAACAAGGATGATGAATGAGTGCTCGCTGTAGATGGAGGTGTTGAGCTACTATGCAGTAGCTCCCGGAGAGCACATACAATTAAAGCTATTTCTGAAAATCAGGAAGTTCTCGTGGGCCTATTCATGGAGTGTTAATGAAGTAAACATGAAGATAAGGAAGAAAAATGAAAAGTTGAAAGCTCGGAAAGATGAAGAGCAGAAACTTCTATGAGCCGTAAACAAATAATACTGGAGGGATACGGAGTGGGTTGTCCGCTTTCAGCGAATTGGCCGTCTCGAAGCTGCTTCCGCTAACAACGATGTGTCCAAGGGTTCAATTGGAGTACGCGTAGGCCGCACTCCCCGAAGGAGATCGATCGCTTAGAGTCAATAGCAAGCCGAGCAGAAATGTGTTTGACCAACCCGACTATAAAATTGAATCATCGGTACGGAAGTCAATGTTGAACGAATTGCTCCCTGAAAGCGATCTTTAGGTGGTCCGGCTTTGGCCTCTATTTACTTTCGGTAAAAAATCTATCCTGGCGCCTCGACGAGGCAAAATGTAATCTACTGGGAGTTTAGGAGGCGTATAGCAATTATCCTTCAACGGGGAAGTTAGAATAAAGAAAGCGTATGTTGTAGGAAGAAAGAGGAGTCTTTCGTGAAAGCAGCAAAGCATGACAAGAGCAAAATGAATTATAAATGAGGTAAAGCAGCAGCAAAGCATCTAGAAGAAGGCGAGTAGAAAAGTAACTGCAAGGGAAACAATTAGGGAGGAAGTGTTAGAAAGATTCATTCAGATCACTTTGAACAACCGATGCATTCTAGTACATTGATTGCGCCGTGTACTCGGCAGTCACAACGGATTCCTTCTGTTACCGAGTTGAAGTTCAGACATGCTTCTTTCGACGATTCGAGCGCTCTTAAGAAAGAATCGGAACTGACTCAGCTCATTAATTCACCTCATCTCATAGTTGAGAACTCTCTCGAAGGCAATGCACACATAAGTTTGATAGAAGCCTCAAATTCACTGTACACGATGAAAATGGCCTTCTAAGATATCACCCTGGGATAAATCTGCGGCTTCCTCATATACCATATGTGATGCTGCCAAGAAGTAAAACGGCCTGGATTGGGCGTTTCAAGGTTTCAAATATTCTATACGCGATATGTCACACCCATAGTGGACGAGTTTCATCGGCGTTGTGGAGGCTGCACATCTCGAGGGACTCCAATGTTGGAATTTCAAACAGCTTGTCATGACCCATGGCGACATTGGAAAATAGTTTTGAGCGATTTGGGCTTGATATTGGTCTGCTCTTTGCGTAATAGCAACAACTGGATCTCGTCCGAATGCCCTTCCCATGTCATTGCCGTCATAGTAATCTCGCACAAATTCTATCTTTGCTACTTTCGGAAAGCCCTCATTTTTTCAGAGTCGACAGTTTTTGTCGCTTTCTTTCCCACCGATGCACTACCCCCGAGCAATACTTTCGCTCTTCGGTTTGAGATGGGTACCCCGAAATCATCGTGAACTGTGCCTGCAAGTCTTTAGATATTAACCAGTCCGTTCAAAGGATGCGCCCCGCACTCTACTCTCACACAAAATCGTTATGGATTAATGAGTGCGTGTGTGGCCTATACAATGACTTGCGGTGGTCAGCCGATGTGCACGTTAGTGTTTTTTTATCCTCCCAGATGGATCTGGTACCAATCAACGGGACTCGGAGACATGCAGGTAATGAGAAAATTCAAAATCTTTATTTATAACATCGACTAGAACGAACCTTTCCTATCCTCTGAGCCAAGGACCCTATAACATAATAACCTCAATATCCTTCAAATACTGTGTTTGGTAAAACTACTATTACTTCCAAATCTATACTACTACTACTACTACTGTGTTTTAGTGGCGTGAACTTAAGCTTTTTAATATTGGGCGACTTCGACGGTTGATAAGAAAGGGTCAGCTGTGAAAGAGGTGCGGACTTTACAGGAAGAACTGATACACCGTTGCAAAGTCCTCTGTTCCTCTATACAGTCTTCACTTCTTTCCATTCAGGGTACTTGAGGTTGACGACTTCTTGTGAACGTCATAACAGCTTTCCTCGTGATCGTAATCTTTCCTTGAGCCTCGAATTGCATTGCCTCCCTTATGGAATGAGTCTGTGGCCTTTTTTCAATACTCATACGCAAAATCGCAGACGCCGTTCTCCCATCTACAGCGCGACGGGGGGCTATTTCCATGACTGCTCTGAAGAATTAGTTTCTGATCCGGTCCAG